GCAGGGAACTTCTCTCTCTCTCGTCTCTCTCCCCCTCTTCCTTCTTTCTTTTTCCTTCCTTCCTTCCTTCCTTTCTTCTTTCTTGTTTGAACTCAGGGCTTGGGTGTGGTCCTTGAACTTATTTTGCTCAAGGCTAGCTCTACCACTTGAGCCACAGCCCCCCTTTTATTTTTTTTTTTTTTTTGGGGTCCGGTCGTGGGGCCTGAACTCTGGGCCTGGCTGGGCACTGTCCCTCAGCTCTTCAGCTCAAGGCTAGTGCTCTACCACTTGAGCCACAGCGCCACTTCCGGCTTTTTTCTTTTTGCTTATGTGGTGCTGAGGAATCGAACCCAGGGCCTCAGGCATGCAAGGCAAGTGCTCTACCACTGAGCCACCTTCCCAGCCCATCCTCTGGCTTTTTTTGAGTAGTTTCTTGGAGATAATAGTCTCACAGACTTTCCTGTCTGGGCTGGCTTTGAACCATGATCCTCAGATCTCAGCCTCCTGAAGTAGCTAGGATTACAGGTGTGAGCCACTGACCCCTGGCTTGTGAGGAACCTCTCTAAGGCACCAGACAGCCTCAGCCCTTCTGCAAGAGAGCTATGAGGGGCCTGAGCTCCACGAGGTGGCAAAGGCGGAGGGGAAAGGGAAGGGAGGAGAGAGGGGCTTTAGGGGATCTCCAGGCCAGGAAAGGACCCATCTGCTCCCGGTAAGGACTTGTAACATGCGGCAGTCCCATCACAGCCAGCACATCCTTGTACCCAGGAACTGAGCTCAAGAGACCGGAAGAGGCCAGGGGCTAGTTCACATCTTTAGCTACTCAGGAGGCTGAGATCTGAGGATTGCAGTTCTAAGCCAGTCTGGGCAAGAAAGTCTTCTAATTAATTGAGCTGTGGCTCAAATGGCAGAACAACAGTCTTGATAAAAAAAAGCCCAGGGACAGTGCCCATGCTGTAAGTTCAAATACCAGTACTAGCAAAGAGAGAGGAGAGGAGGGGGGAAGGGGAGGGGAGATGAAGGGAGGGGCTTAGAACAGCAATTGCAATTGGCAAAGCAATTACAGAATAAGCATGTGGGTCCTAGTAAATCCTATACATTCTTTAGGGATGTGTGTATGTGTTTACACATCCAACAGCCCTGGGGGACTGGAAGGGGGAGTGGGGGAGGAAGGGAACTGAATCTTTCACTAAGCTATTTTAATTGTCCTGGAGGCTGTAACCCCATTAATTGTTTAACCTAAAATTAAAAATACTTAAAAAAAAAAAGAAATGAAAGCAATAGCCAGTGCTCTTTTGTGTGCCATCAACAAAGGTCTAACTTGCAGGTCAGGGGAGGTGACAACTCCCTGGGCTGTACTCAGCCCAAGTCTGACCTTGGCTTTGTTCTCTCTGAGACACTATGTTGCCTAAGGCAGGCCAAGGTTGAAGGTGGGAGACCCACACAGATCACAGATCTGGAAGAACTGGAAGGGGTACATGGGGGTCAGGGGCTCCTGTGGACACCTCTAGGCCCGCAGGGAAAGGGGACAAGGCTAGTGGAAATGCCGGCCTGGGAAAGCCCATCACTCACTCTGTTGGGGAAGGGACCCCCTTCTGCTGAGCTTGGGGTAATTTGGGGAGCTGAGATCTGGGATGTGTGCAAGGTAGGCTGGATTGTGAGCTGGGGTGGTGTACAGACCAGCGGTCAGGCTCAATCTCCCCAACTGGAAAAGGTAGCTAGCTAGCTCTGCATTTTACTGCCTGGAACCAGACGGCCTGCAATTATAAAATTGACCACCAGGAGGCATGGTCTGCCAGGCTTTCATTCAACTGGGAGCTACAGCAGATGCTTCCGGATGGAGGGTCTGGCCACAGAGAGGCCGTCCAACGCCAGGCCAGAGGGGCTAGACACTTAGGGTCCCTGGGGAAGGGCCTCAGACAGGGACAAATGCACAGGGACACACGCACGCTCACGTCTGGGGACAGCACTGACTTCTATCCTCACTCTTTGTTCACAGTGTTGACCATAGCCAATGTGATAAAGATTATTCATTCTCCTCCCCCCCCACCACAACTGGGCCTTTACTCAAGGACTCTTGCTCTTTTTGTTTTGTTTTTTGTTGTTGTTGTTGGTCATGGGGCCTGAACTCTGGTCAAGGACTCTTGCTCTTTCTTTTTTTGTTGTTGTTGGTCGTGGAGCCTGAACTCTGGGCCTGGGCACTGTCCCTCAGCTCTTCAGCTCAAGGCTAGCACTCTACCACTTGAGCCACAGCGCCACTTCCAGGTTTTTCTGCTTATGTGGTGCTGAGGAATCGAACCCAGGGCTTCATGCATGCAAGGCAAGCACTCTACCACTGAGCCACCTTCCCAGCCCCGGACTCTTGCTCTTTATTAGCTTTTCTCCTCAAGGCTGGCACTATACCACTTCAGCCACATGTCAATTTTGCCTTTGTTTTTGCTGATTTAGAGATAAGTATTTTGGATTTGTCTGCCCAGGCTGGCTTTGAACCTCAACCTTCAGATCTCAGTCTCCTGAGTAGCTAGGATTACAGATGTGAGTGACCTGGTGCCCAGCTGATTTTCCTCGTAATATTCTCTAAGTGACTCCATTACGCTGGGGGCACTGTGGGACACAGGAAGACACGATAGATAATACAACAAACATACAACAAATGACCCAACCTACACCCACATTTAACCATCACATTTGCTGCATTTGCTTGTTCTAGTTTCTTCTAAAGCATTTTAATCTACATATCCCCAAATTCTTTTTTTTTTTTTCCAGTGATGGGGCCTGAACTCTGGGCCTGGGCACTGTCCCTCAGCTCTTCAGCTCAAGGCTAGTGCTCTACCACTGGAGCCAAGCACCACTTCCAGCTTTTTCTGCTTATGTGGTGCTGAGGAATCGAACCCAGGGCCTCATGCATGCAAGGCAAGCACTTTGCCACTGAGCCACCTTCCCAGCCCCATATCCCCAAATTCTTGAGTCCACCTCTCTAAAAATGTAAGTCCAGTTCCTTGAATATGCCCACGTTCCCCATATGAGCACTGTGTCATATCTATGTGCAACTGCGTTCCCTGATTGCCCCAAATTATATCTAACAACTGACAAGGCTTCGGTGTAGGAGGCTAGTGGATGAGAACCAGGGTAAGCCAGGCACTCGTGGCTCACGCCTGTAATCCTGGCTACTAAGGAGGCTGAGATTCCAGGATCGCCGTTCAAAGCCAGCCTGGGTAAGGAAGGCCATGAGACCCTTTATTTCCAATTAACCATCAGAAAACTGGAAGTGGCTCTGTGGCTCAAAGTGGTAGAACACTAGCCTTGAACAGAAGAGCTCAGGACAGCACATAGGCCCTGAGTTCAAGCCCCCCCCCCAAAAAAAAAAAGAGAGAAGAAAAGCAGGGTCTTCCAGTCTAATAGAAAGCACTTCCAGCGGTGGATGCCTGTCATCTTTATGAAGAGACCACGGGCACTCGGACAGCAGCAGCAGGGATCTGCCTTTCTCACTGATGCTATGAGCTTCCCAGCCGCCTTCTCTGGTTTGGGGCTGGTGTTTTTAAGCATTGGCCTGCAGGGGTGGAGGGGTGCAGGGGGACAGGAAGGGGCCCCTTCCCTTTGCCAGGGAGAAGCCTGGGGCTTCCGCAGGTTCTGGGAGCTCCTAAAAGGTGTGCACTGGATAGGGGCTGTGCTTTCCTGGCTTCTGATTTTATGGTCAAAGCAGGCTGTGCCCTGGCCTCTCTGTCTCCACCTCCTGCCTTCACGTGGGGACAGGGACAGCAGAGGGCAGCCTGCCCTGTCCCCTGCAGTGTCCCCAGCCCCCTCAGTGTCCAGCACTCAGCAGGACTGCAGTGAAGAAACAAATGATTGTTACTGCATTTCTCACTCTAGTGTGTGTGTGTGTGTGTGTGTGTGTGTGTGTGTGTGTGTGTGTGTAAGTCTCAGCCTGGGCACTCTATCCTCCTCTCCTCTTTCCTTTACTGAGCACCTATTGTGTGCCAGGCAGTTTCTAGGTCTGGGACATAGACAAGGCCTCCCAGCCTGTGTAAGAGACAAGCATAAGCAAGAGAACAAACGCATGGGAAATGATTCCAGGTTGTAGGTCAGGTAAGTTGGCTAGTAAGTGCCTGTCATCTCAGGAGGCAGACGTCTGATGGATCACAGTTTGAGACTGGTCCAGGTAAAACATTCATGAGATCTCATCTCAACCAGCCAGCCAGGCATGGGTGTTCTATGCCTGTGATCACAGCTACTCAGGAGGTATAGTATACGCAGTAGACTCAGGAGGTTGTCTGGGCAAAAAAGGGAAGACTATCTGGAAAAGAACTAAAGCGAAAGTGTGCGGGGGGGGGGCATAGTGGAAGAGTAAGCTGCATGCTCTGAGTCCAGATCTCCGAATGAATGAATGAATGAATGAGCAAGTCCAGGTACCTCCCATGTGAGGACCCTAGAGGCTGGGGGAAGAGTGTGAAGAGGGTGGCAGGCAAGAGCAGGCAGGGAAGAAGAGGGGGGAGGGCAGGCAGGGAACCCTTGCAGGGGTGTGGGTGGGGTTAGGAGGAGAGGGAAGGTTCTGGATGGGCAGGGGGCCTGTGGGGTGAGCATTGGAGCACACAGGCTCTGACTCGGGGTCTAGGCAGGATGGATGGGCTACACTAGTGTGTACTCCCCAAATCACTGGGCCAGGGGACTGGGGTATCAGGGCAGACCTGCAGGAGAGGGAGGCAGCACGCTCAGCCCCGGCAGGCTCATTTGCATCTGATTAGCACAGGAGGCGAGGGGTCAAGTTGAAAGCTGGGAAGGGCTGCGCGGCTCGCGTTCTCTCTCAGGTAGTGGGTCCCGGCTGTTCATTTTCCACAAAGGCTCTGTTTTCTGTCCCCAGACCATGACCTTCCACTCAGGGGGGCCTCCACCCCCCTTCCCACACCCCTTCAGCCTGGCCTGCCATCTGGGACTGGGAGGGGCCACAGAGTGGAGGTCATTTCCTTTCATAAGAAGCCTGCCTGCTCAGATGCCCCTTCCTCTTGCAGAATGCCATCTGTCGGGGCCAGCCTCTGACCTCCGACCTCTCCTTAGCACAGGGCAGCAGGATGGGGATGGGCGAACCTCCCCCTCCTCCTAGGGGAGATGCGAGCTTCCCCTTCCCTCCAGAACCATCTGTTCTCCCCTGCTCTGGCCACCTGCTCCACCTGCTCCATGTATTCCCATCAGGCCACCTCCCCTTTCTGAGCCTCAGTGTCTCCAAGGGTCAGGCAGCATTTTCCCAAATGCGAGTGGCTCACACCCCACTTTTGCAATCGCTGCCTGGTCTACCATCCACCAGGCCCGGGAGTGACTCAAGGTTGAGAAGGGGAATTTATGCTCCTTCACGGATCTCATTTTAAGAATGCGTAACAGCTCTGTAATAGAAAATCAGTCACAGAGGCCACAATTGGAAAGCCAATGGGGCGGGAATAACACAGTCATTAAATGCTTGCTCGGCTCCGGTGCAGTCAAACAGAGGAGTGTTTGCTGTGCATCTATTTATCCCACCATCCAGAAACAGCACAGCTAGAGAAAGAAACCACTCCAAGGCCACCAAGGAGCAGAGGAGACTCACCTGCAAGGGCAGAGGGGAGGATGGCTTTTTTTTTCCATTGGAGCTGTGGCTAACCAAGAGTACTTAGTAAATTGTACTGCATATACAATTCACTTTGAAAAGACACAGATTTGCCTGGTGCCAGTGGCTCACACATGTAATCC